CCTGGAGGCAGGAAGAGGCAGCCCGCAGCACTAGGGGGCTTGAAAGAGTTCCAGGAAGCTTGGGGGGTGGGGAGGGAGAGGCAGGGATGTGGGGGCGGCAGGGCAGGCCTTCCTCTGTTCGCTGGAGGGGGAGGGCAGAGGAGCAGAGACAGGCTGAGCCTCAGTGACCACGTGGGAGGGGCGGTGCTGGACCGAGGGCAGATGCTGGGTGGAGCGCCTGGCTGGGAGCCTTTTCGGGGGCTCCTGACCTGAGCCCGGTCTCGGCTCAGCCCCTGAGAGCAGCAGCTGAAAGGTTCCTCGTTTCCCATCTATAATTTGGGTCACGAGATTACGTGCTAAAGGCCCCCAAAGAGGCCAAGGGCTGCAGATGTTTTTGGCGCATTCTCTCTGGGCCGCTCTGGCGAAGGCCTGGGCGGGCATTTGGTAACAAGTTTTCCCAGCAGCCCAAGAGGCCAGAAAGGCTCTGCAGATGGCAAGCCCTGGCACAGCCCTCGGCTGGCAGCGCACCGGCCTGGGGGCACAGGTGAGGTGGCAGCGGGGGTCAGGATGTGAACCCAGGGGACGGGGCTCCAGTGTGGTAACAGTTCCCCCATGGTCTTCACACTGCAACTTGTCTTTTCTCATCGGATCCTCTGTGCTCATGGATTCCACGTGGTGGTTATACGGGGTTATCCGTCCTGCTTTAGGGATGGCGAAAGTGGGCCAGGGACCCAAGGCCTGCCCAGGACTCACTCCAGGCGGTCCTGCTCTGGCACACTCCACGGGACAGGCCGAGAAGGGCAGTGGGTGTTCTCAGCGTGTGCCCCCTAACGGTGTCCTGGCGCAGCGGTGACCGTGTGTGATACCCAGAAAGAACTTGGAACCGGGGGCCCAGCTCCACCACCCACCTGCTGTGTGACCTTGGGCAAGTCCCTTCCCATCTCTGGGCCTGGGTTCACGCAGCTGTGCAATCCACTTACTGAGTCTGGGAAGGTTTGTTCTGCCGAGGGGCAAATGAGGAAACTGAAGTTTAGAGGGGTTAAAGGATTTGCTCAAGGTCAAGCAATCCGCATCAGGCGACTTCGGATGTTAATAGGGAACCCCAGGGTGCGCCCTTCACCGCGGCCTCCTCCCCAGCCCCCAGGAGCGGCGCCCTGCCCCCCAGCGGCCCCGCAGCGCCTGGCTGATGCGCCTCACGCGGTTCCTGGCCCCGCCAGCTTGACGTCAGGCCGGGCCAGCGGGGCCTCGCTCTGCACAAACAGACGGAGCGGGCGGGCCGGGCCGGGGGCGGCGATGACTCAGGGCCCCGAGACGGGCCGGGAAGCGGAAAGTTTTGTGCAGATGACATCACCACCGGGCCGCGAGGGCCGGAGGGGGCCGGCTCCGGGAAACGGCGGCCTGGCCTGGCGGGCTGCCCGGCTTGGGGCAGTGAACGGAGGGGCGGCCGCGGGGCGGGGGGCGGGGGCCGGAACGCCGGACGCCACCCTTGGCCACGCGGAAAAATACCCCCGCCGGCCCCCTGCCCCAAGTCCCGGCCCAGGAGCCCCATCCGCGTTCGCAGTGAGGAGCGGGCTCCACCCGCCTGCGAGGACGCTGAGCTCCCCAGCGCTCCGGAGGCGCCGCATCCATCCTGCTGCGTCCCTGCATTTTAATTACCGCCACATTAATATTCATGAGCCGGGACTCGAGGGGACCGCGGGCTGTCATTTCCCTCGCCCGCGCACTCCCCCCCACCTTTTCCCGGGCTGAGTCGTGGATTTTTTTTTTTTCCCTCCTGCTCCCAACCCCGCCCTCGCCAATGGTCGTTGGTGCGCAGCAGATCTGGGGTGCAGGAGTGTGAGTGTGTGTGGGTGCCGTGCGTGAGCAAGGGCGAAGGCACAGTAGACTGGGCCCAGAGTGGGGAGCTGAGTGTGAGTGTGGCATGTGCCTGTGTGCACATGTGTGTGTGCCCGTGTGTCTCTAGGCAACTCCAGGAACTGGGTGCGGGTCTGGCCGAGGCAGCTGTGTGGCGCGCAGGTAGCCTGGGCCTGGGAAAGGGTCAAGGCTGTCCCCCTAGCAGGACCTGCTGGTACACATGGAAACAGGCTGGAGAGAGGCTGGGCCTGGCTCAGTCACCCATGAGTCAGTGGCACCCATAAGTCAGTGGCGCAGTGGTATTCAAGCCCAGGGCCTGGCTGACCCGCTCTCTCCCCCTCCGTGGTCTCCGTGCTGCTGTTTATGACAACGGTAGACAGAATTTCCTGAGCTGGCACCTTAGATGGACCTGCTCAGCAAACCTGTGCAGGAGGGGGTGCTACCAGTCCCCCTTGCAAGTGGGGAAACAGGCAACTGGTCCAGTTAGTGAGGGGTGGAGCTGGAGCCCAGAAATATCTGAGTCCAGAGTCCCTGCCTTTAACAACTGCACCATGCTTCCCCTGTGGAGTTGTGTGGGGGTCCCCACTGGGGTGACCTGGGGGTGCCCGGAAGTCCCTCAGGGCCCCAGGCAATCCCACGCCCTGTGGTCACTGGGGGGTGGGGTTTCACCAGCAACAGCTTCCTTTCCAAACAGAGCCTGTTTACTGAGGCCCTTGGCTCCCCCCCCAAATCCTGCCCTCAGCCACCTGCACATCCGGGAGTCCTTGGGAGGCGGGAGGTGTTGCTTCAAAAAGAAGACAGGCAGACTTAAGGCTCCTGCTCCTCCCCCCTGGGTGGGGGCCAGGCAATCTCTCATTCATTCGTTTGTCCACCCAGCGCATGCTTGCGGGCCTGCTACGCGTCAGTCACTGCTCTTGGTGCTGGGGGTTCTCGGAGTTTATGAGGAGCCCACGCCAATCTGTTCCCAATTCCAGTCATCTCCACCCGGAGTTCCAAAATCTCTCTGTGCGCATGTTCACTAGGGGTGGGGGTCAAGAGGCACCTGTGCACAAAGGACAGCTTGCCACCCCTAGACTGGCCACAGCAGCCCGGGGTGTGTAGGCGCTGGGGATGGGGCGGGGCAGAAAAGCCCGGTGTCCTCTTTGGGCTGGTGGAGAACCAGCCACGCTGGGCTCAGCAGCCTGGGTCTTTGCTTCCGTCTCCTTCGGGAACCTGTCCTCCTCCGGCCTCTAAACCAGCTAATCCCAGGCGCTGGTCAGTGCATCTTTCCCTGGCCCCCCTCCCTCTCACGTCCGTCCTGCCCCAGGCCTGCCCGGAACTAGCTGACTGTGCCCTCCTCTCAGCCCTTGTGGGTTGGGCTGGAACTCACGTCCTAGCCATGCCTTCCCGCTCCCCCCTCCAGCCTTTTCTCCCCTCCCAGGGCAGCTCCCATTGGAGAGGAAGGAATAATGGTTTCACTGGGCTTCACGGGTAGAGTAGGAGTTGGCCGTGTGGACTGGTGGGGAGAAGGGAGGAGAGGCAGCCAGGCAGAGGGGATGGCTCAGAGGGGCGCCTGCAGCCCCTCTTCCAGAAACCAGAGGCATGACGTCAGGGACAATGGCAGACTGATTTTCTCCTGCAGAGCCTGAGGCTTGTTCAGCCTCTTTGTAGGGACTCTCAGCTGTGTCTACTCTGGTGCAAACCCCACCACTCTCTCGGGGGGAAGAGCCTGGGCAGGCCACTGCGTCCGGCTCCCCGTCTGTCAAATGTGGAAGGAAGCACTTTTTTTTTGTTTTTTTTGCTGTATTATATTCAGATTAAGAGACACTCTCCACAGGCACCTAGCGCAGTGCCCGGTGCTCCTACGCAGAACCACAGTCTGTCCCAAGGACACAGAGAGGCTCCTGGGAGAACTGCGTCCAGACAGTGACGAGCCCAGGATGGGATTTAAAAAGCGGCCTGTGTCGCACAGCCTCGCCAATGGGGAGGTGCGTGGGGGGAACGGGCACCTGGGAGGGGTAGGGCCGGGCTGAAGCCAACAGCCGTCGGAAGTGACTAGGGCTCTAGCTAAGAGCAGGGTCTCCAGGAGCCCGCCCACCGTCCCCCTGACTGGGAGATCCCGGCCGCTCCAACAGCCAGCGGGAGAGCCAGGGCTCAGAGAGCCCGGCCCAGCAATCCTGGCGCCTCCCCGCCCCAGCCAGCCACAGCGCTCTGCCTTCCAGCTCCCCGCTCTCCTCGGAGCATTCCCTCTGTTTTTCTTTTTTTAAAGTGTACAAGGCAAAAAAAAAAAATTTTTTTTGAAAGGAAGCACTGTGAAAGTTTACACACTGCGTTCTGACCCCGTCCTTCCCACTTTGTGTGTGCGTGTTTTCAGGACATTTCTCTGCCTACAGAACTGTCTTTCTAAACCCCCCATAGGAGGGCGTCCACCTCTGCTCTGAGACCTCCCATGGCTCCCCACTGCCACAGAGCAGAGGTAGCTTCCCAAGGCCTTGCCAGCCCAGCTCCAGCCTCAGCAAGACGGGTCCCCCTCACCCCCGAGCCACGCCTGGAGCACGTTAGGTCCTCCCATGCCCACCACGGTTCTGTCTGGGCCGTGCGGGCCTCCAGGAACAGCCTCGTGCCCGCCGCCAAAATTCCTCTTCATTGCTCAAGCCCAGCCTTCCCTGCTCCCTGTCTCCCAGCTCCTCTCCAGGGCCCTCCTCTCCGGTGCCCCCACGTCCTGTGCTAGGCTTTACGGTGGTCTAACTGTCACGAGGGTCTCCTGGAGTTGCATGTTCTCACGCAATAAGGAGCTTCTCGAAGGCCTGGCCCCGTGTCCCTATCTTTGTTGCCACCGACCTTGACGTCTTTCATATAGTAGGCGTGGCTCAGCTGGTTGGAGCATCATCCGGTCCACACACCAAAGTGTCCTGCGTTTAATTCCGGGTCAGGGCACTGGGGGGTTTGGTCCCTGGGCTGGCTCCTGTGCGAGCCGACCATGTTCCTCGCTCACACTGATCTCTCTCTCTCTCTCTCTCTCTCTTTTCTCTCCAACCCCCTCTCTTTCTCTCCCTCTCTCTAAAAAAAGCAATACAAAAATGTCCATGGTGAGGATTTTTTTAAAAAATTCAACTTTCTTTTTCTTTAGGGATTCAGGCTCTAAGCCGGCAGATCAGGGTTCGAATCTTGACTTTCTCCTTTTCCAGCTCCGTGTCCTTAAAACAGTGCATCGACCTCTCTGAGCCTCAGTTGCTTCATCTGGAAAATGAAGTTAACGATAAAACCTCCCTGGAAGCCCCGACCGGTGTGGCCATGCTGGCTGGGCGCTGTCCCGAAGAGGCTCAGCCCCCGGTCAGGGCACACGACTGGGTTGCTGGCTCAGTCCCCTTGGGGCACAGACGGGACCGAACCATGTGCCTCTCTCACATCGATGTTTCTCTCTCTCTCTTCCCCTCCGCCTCTCTAAACATAAAAAATAAATAAATAAATAAATAAATAAATAAATACATGTTTAAAATTAAAAGAGGAAAACAAAAACTCCCTCCGTGAGTAATGTTGAGATAAGCGTATGTCGAACACCCGCAGCCTGAAGCCGAGGGCAGCTGATACGTCCTACGTACTCCCTAGTGTTACTGTTTCGTGTTTCCAGCCTCACACTTGGCCAAGGTCACCTGTCCAGTCTGGGGCAGTGCTGGGACTCGGTCCCCATCTCCTCCCACCCCGGTGCTCCTCACTCCCCTCTGCCGAGTGCGGGTCCCAGGCCCATTTTGCAGGAAGACCAAAGCGAGAGTCACCCTGTCTGCCGTGTCCCCAGGTGGGCTCTCCAGGCCACTTAGGAAAGGGACCCCACAGCTCTGGTGCACCCCACCGTGTTAACTGGGGCCTCTGCTCCTCTGGTGGCCAGGGAATCAGCTCAGTGGGGCCCTACGAGACCTTGTGACCCCCGTAACTGTGACAGTCACTAAATCAAGCAGCCCCCACTTTCGGGTGCAAGGAGAGGTCCTAAGAGCTCACAGCAACCACAATCCCGTCTTCCGGGGGCGCTCGCTCAGACTCCTGGGGTGCAGGGCTTGCTCCAGGGTGGCACAGCCAGCAGCACCTGGGCCACAGCCCTCCGCTCACCACCAGGGACACGGGCTGTGCCTGTGCGGGAGCAGCGTTGGGACTGGAGCTGGAGGCTGGGCGCTCCCCAAGGCTCCGGGGGGCCCCCCCACATCTGGCAGTGCCTCCCCCGGCCCTGGCCTCACAGCGCCTGCCCGACTTCATCTCTGAGCCGCGCCCAGGCCCTTCCCAGCTCTGCCAGGGAGCCTGGAAATTTCTGCTCAGCAGCTTCTCTGGGGCGATTTCAACACGGCTCAGCGGGGGAGGGGGAGGAGGAGCCAGGCTGCTCAGCGCTCTGCTCAGGGGGGAACCGGGAGGGGGCTCCGCTAAGCTTCCCTGGGCCCCTCAGAAATAATAACAACAGACAACCAGCTCGCCACCAGTGCCACGTATGGAGAGCTGTGTGTGCCGGGCCCCATGCTCAGTCAGGACTAGCATGGCCTCACGGAACCTTCCAGAACCCAGGTGAGGCTGGCACTGTTGCTCAGCCACCCCGCAGCTGAGTGAGAGAGGCTCAGAGTGGTGAAGGCAGCCAGCCCAGGCCACACAGTCAGGAACCGGCCTCACACTGGGGAGCACAGTAGATGCAGGGCAGTGACGGGCTGGGAGCAGGCACCACTGCAGGGTTCCGGGTGGGGGGACTGGGGTGGGGGAAGCGCTGGGGGCCCCTAAAGGAGACGGAGGCACTCAGAAGTCAACCATAGCCTGACCAGAAATCCTGCAGTCCAGGGGAAGGCATGTTTAGACCCGGGGTCTCTGTTAGCATCTAGAAGTGTCCTCCTGGGGTACGCTGAGTCCCCCTGGAGACCTCATGGGGCCTGGAAACTTCTCTCTACTACTGGTCCTGGTAAGCCAACAATTCCAGACACCTCCCACCCCACCGGCTCTGGGGCTGGGCTTGTCTGGCACCGCGCGGTCAGACGGACAGGCATGCCGGCCGCCCTCCTGAGGCTGCTGGCAAGGGGCCCGGGTCAAACTCAGCAGTGGCTAAGGTGCCCCCGCTGTGTGCCTGGCTCTGAGCTCCCAGGGCTGTCACGGCCCCCCGAAGGAACGCCTGCGGGACGGGGCAGGACGGGGCGCATGGAGAGTCTTAGGCAAATACATGGGGGGTGGGGGGCGGTCTGACACGACCCTGGGCTCAGGTCCCCACCTGTTAAACGGGCAGCGCGAACCTTATCCTCCAGGGCAGGTGAGGATGCAGTGAGCACCTGGGGAACGGCGCAGGGGGACAAGGGGGGCCACCCCAGGCCTGGATCCCCGCTCCTCGGTGCCCCCCCCACACCCCCAGCGCTGCTCCCCCGCCCTGAGCCCGGCTGCCCGCCGAGGGCGATGCGTGCAGGGCGCGGCGGCGGCGGCGCAGGCCCAGGCGCCCAGTTCAGCGGAAAGGAATGTCTTGCTCGGCGGGGGGAGGCAGCGAGGCCCGAAGCCGAGTACACCCCGTCGCCCTCCCCGGGCCTCATTTATTGCGGCTCTAAAGCCTGCTCGTTCCGCCAGCCCGGCCGCTCGCCGGGTCCGAGGCCTGACTCACCCCCCCCGCCCCCCGCCCCCCCCGCCGCCGCCGCCTCCCGCCGCCGCCTCCCGCCTCCCGCCTCCTCCCGTCCGCCACCGTCAGATCCTCTCCAACGTTCGCCCAAAGTTGGGGAGAGTCTCCAAAGGGGGTACCCGCGCCCCTGCCCGCGGATGCCCCTGGCCCAGTCCCCACGCCGCCGCGGAGCGCCCTCCCCACCCGTCCTCTCCCCTCCCCGCGCCGCCCGCCCGCTCCCTCCCTCCCTCTCCCTCTCCCTCCCCCCTCCATAACTCAAAAGCTTGTCAAGCTGGTTCCAGACTCCTGGCGCCGGGCTCCGCTCCAGGAAAGAAAAAAAGGAAAAAGAAAAAGGGAAAAAGCCGGCGCGAGGGAGCGAGAGGGCGAGAGAAAGGCCCACGGAACGAAACTGTGCGCCACTGGCGCGCACAGCACAGTGGTCCCCGTCCCCCACCCTGCTCCCCCGAACCCTACGGGGAAGCCCCGCACCCTGGGGGGGCAGAGGGTGCGCACAGCACAGATCCATTATTTATGGTCGAATCAATTATTCAGCGGCCCGGGGAAGAGGCGGGGGCGGGAAAGCCTGGGGAGGGGAAGGCGGCTGCCGAGACCACCCGGCCCGAGGTCGCCGCTCTCCCGCAGGGCCCCGGGGGTCGGGGGTCGGGAGGCGGCTCCACGCCAGGAGTCCTGTTGTGAGAAAGCTGCCTCGGGGTGGGCTCCGGGAGGAGCGCGGGGGAACCTACGGAAGCAGGAGAGACCGCTCAGAAATCTAATTAGACGAGGGTGGGGGTGGGGTGGGGGGTTAGGAGACCGTGTTGGAGAGCGCTAGCTGGACGCGGGCGGGCGTGGGAAGAGCCTGGCCTGTGAATTCTTTCCTTCCTTACTTCATTCATTTCCATGTTTATAGCCACTGCGCCCTCGGCAGCTGGGCGGTGGTAGGGGAGAGCTAAGAGCCGGTAAGTGCCCTTGGAGCTGGGTCCCAGTCCTGGTGTGTTCTGCACCCTCCCCAGCTGTGCACGCATTGGCCCCGGATTCGCCTCCTCTGGGCTTCTGCTTCCTTCTCTGCAGGATGGAAATGAGCCGCGTGAGGACCTGATGGCCGTGGATGTGAGGATTCGGTGACATGGGGCACACGGGCAGGGCCTGGCTCAGAGTGGGGGGCGGGAGGTGGGTCCTCTCCTCACCCTGAGGCGAGCGTGTCCAGGCTCCAGTATTCCCACCCACTTCCACGCTGGGTCCTGGGTAACCGGTGTCCTCCCTGGATTTAGACATCTGAAGGTCATTATCAAACTCAAGTCAACCCCAAGGCTCTGCCCAGATCCCTCCATTCTGGCTAGCTTCTCATCAGCCGGGCCCCCTCACAGGCTCCCACACGAGGCAACCAGGGGGGTCTCACGGAGCCCTCTTGCTCCCCACCATCCCCTCTCCTTCCCAACCTCTTCCCTAGAGCTCTGAGGTCACGGGGACCAGGGGCTGTCAGCATAGGAGTGGCCCTCCCCAGGCTAATGTCACCACGGTCTAGGGTGCCAGTAGGTTCTGTCAAGGCTCAGAAGCCAGGAGCTTCTGTTTTCAGACTCGGTCTTCTCACCAAATCTTGCACCAGCTGTGTTAGGTGGGCCCGGGCAGATCCGGGTCTGTGTGTGTGTTTGGGGGTGGGGGGAAGCCTTTACCATCTTGAGAACCCTCTTTAAGAAAAATATTGCAAAATTATGAATGCAGAATTAAGCCCAGGGCCTTGCCAAGAGTCCCTAGAACCAAAGCTTCATTAGTTCCTTTGTAAACCACCTCTCTAGGTGGGCGACCCCACTGTCGTCCCTTCGCAGAGGGAGGAACGTCTAAATGTCTAAATCCAGGGAGGACACCGGTTACCCAGGACCCAGCGTGGAAGTGGGTGGGAATACTGGAGCCTGGACACGCTCGCCTCAGGGTGAGGAGAGGACCCACCTCCTGCCCCCCACTCTGAGCCAGGCCCTGCCCGTGTGCCCCATGTCACCGAATCCTCACATCCACGGCCATCAGGTCCTCACGCGGCTCATTTCCATCCTGCAGAGAAGGAAGCAGAAGGGAAGCAGGTGGAGACAAGGCGTAGGAAAGGGGAGTCCCTGGGCCGCGGCTACACAGCTGGGAAGGACAAAGCCGGGATTCGAGCCCAGGTCCGACCCTGCAGGCAGCACCCTGAACCCAGCGCCCATGTCACCTGACTTGTTCCTCTGCTCCACACCTGGTCTCCCCTGTCCCCACCACGGGTCCAGGCCAGGTGCGGTCAGGAAGAGCAGCCTTTAACTCCAGACCGGCCGGTGCCCCGCCCTCCCAAGGCCTTCCTGCCCCAAGGAGCCAGTCCGTCTTGTGACGACAGCCACGCTACCAAGAGGAAGAGCTCTTCCGACCTTCCAGCTCCCACAGCTGTGCCTGCTCATTCCAGACCTCGAGCTCCTCCGCTGGCCCTGAGGGACCCCCCACCCCCGCCCAGGAGGCGGTGGGTGAGCCCCCTGCGGGCAGGGGCACTTTGGTCTTCCGCAGAGCATTCCAGCACTCGGCACAGTGCAGGCACGGAGCAGTGGGCGCATTTGGCAGTGACGTCTCTTCTCAGCTCGGGAGGGGGCTGCTCAGCAGAGAGACTGTTAAACTGCAGATGCCTGGGCCTCTCCACACCCACTGAATCAGGCTTTCTTAGCAGGGGGCCCGGCACTCTGCCTTTTGTGACTCCCTGGGGTGCATCTCAAGCTCAGGAAACTGGAGACCCACTGACCGAGGAGCCAGAAAGGGCCAGAACCAGGTCTAGGCCGAGCCCCTCTCACAAAGGGGATGCATCTCCCCATTTCTGGCAGC